CTTTAAACCTTTTGTTCAACAGACAAGGCTTTATAGCGGGAAACATGGTGTCTTCTGCACTACCACAGGATGAACTGAAACTCACTTGGCTCATCCTTCCTCGGCTCCAGCAAGTGCTTCAATTCCGCTGCCAAAGGCTGCAGAAGATCCTCTTTGCTCACAAAGTGCACCGCATTCTTTTCTTCCATACCTATGCAACACTGCTCACTAAAGGAGAACTTCACTGTAACAACAGCTTCTACAAATTGACATGTGAAATAAGCACTGAACGATAACAGATTCACAGTGGAAGCCGCGAATAAAAACTGCTTTATCGGATATTCTTGACAGTACAGTAGTAACAAATAGACACTTCTATAGGAATATTAATCGAGAACACGTGTCAGGACTCTCCTTTTTCCTTAGGTTCGAGTAGGTGAGATCTCATTTGTAATCTTCGCTCTTCTGAAAAAAAAACTTGGAAGCGGGCTCGAGCCTAGGAGATCAGAGACAGCCTGTAAACTCACCACTCAGGTGCTGCATGCAAGCTGCCCAATCAACGAATTCTTCAGGACACTTTATAGAATTGTCATCTTTATCGTCATTTGACATACAAATATACAGACGTCGAAACAAATGACCACATCTGAAATCTGAGAAGTAATTGAAGCTCTTCTGTTTTATACGAACTGCATGTGTTCCGCTGTTCCTACACAACAATGCTGAACGAATACAAAGACGTCAACACCATCATATCAGTTTACAATCACATTACAATTATTATCTAATATGAACGTGGGCTGAGGCGGAGGTGGTGTAGTGACAAGTGGCGCGCTTACCACTCGCGCGGCGCCGGGTTCAAATCCCGGGTCGACTCCCGCCCAGGCCAACCAAGCCTTCTACCCTCCGGGGACGGTGAATTGGTACCAGATTCGTCTGGGAGGATAAAAAACACTGACTTGTACATCGGCTGGCCACCGCAAGTCATTGTATAGGCCACATCGCATTCAATAAGCCACTACGATTCTGAATGGAAGTAGAATGCGTGCCGCATCCCACAAAGGGATTGATCAACGGCGACTTTATCCTTTTATAACGCGGGTTGACATTAGGTAGCCAATAATGCTACAGCGCGGAGCTAATTCCCTATTGAGCCCTGTATTAAAACGCGGCTGAAACACACAGACCGAATTGTTTCTTTTGGACCGCATAAGTATAGTCGTTGGTACAATCGTACGTTAGGCGTGTCAGAGACTGAGTTTGGCGCGCCATTCAAGGGTACTGGGATCAGAAAAAAAGAGGATGCAACACTGAATAATCACAGCTGTTTTCGCAGCAGACGATAGGGGAAGTTGGTACGCCGCCAGCACATTTCCCACCAGTTGTTGAAGCTGACAAGTAGAGAGTTTGTTAAGAGCTAACTGGTGAGAAAGGCCGATGCCACGCAAACCCGCTCCCCTGACACGACCAGCCTCTGCATTGAAAACAACGTGGGTGGTACTCGACTTACCTCTGGGTGAGTTGTTAGACTATACACTACAGACTCTCAATAGAATTTGAATGCAAGGCGTATCCCAAAAGGCACTCCAACACTTCGCAGGCTACAAACTTTCAGATACTCGCTCTAAACCTTACGAGCAAAGGAGTGCTGCCAGCGCATAATTACGCATGCCATAAAATGTTGAAAACCAACCGCACCCTGTCCATTGCAAGTGCTGAATGGAAGCAGGTAGTTAAAGCTTTCAAACCGACATTTTACAAACGGCGTCTAATGACGCAGCTGACGCGTCTCCGACAGTTCGCTACTTTGGTTGCCAGTGGCATCACACACTACAGCACGGTCGTGCTCAAGGCTTGCCTTACGGGCCAAACAAACCTTCCATCCCTCTTGACGTAAGCGAGACTAGACATATCTGGGAAGAGAAAACACTAGCTTGCACTGAGGGACCGATACGCAAGGCATTCTATGGGCCATATCGCATTCAGAATCCCACCACAATTTGGGAGATGTAGACCATAAAAGGATAATGAGCAAGGACGAGAGCCTTATTCTATAGCTTCAGGTATGTCCGAAATCAAAGACATTCCTCGCGCTCCTGCAACTCGTGGGCGTCTTTCCTTGCACAAGTCGTCTTGCCACCAGTCTCCAGGGTTCTCCCACTCTCGCGGCCTCGCAGCAAGTGACGAAGGCGCTGTGCCCTCATAAGTGGCATTTCTGACGGCTCCCCAGTTGTTCCACGCACCTGAATCTCAAATTCTAACTTCTTTCACAAGTTCAGTTTTTACACCAGTTTTCCGTTGTTTGATGGTATTAGTTTCGATCGATGCAGTGAAACCATTACTGAGTTGTTCCCTGGAGCTATTTAGCGACTACAGGTTTGTTAGTGAGCTCCACTATCCACAATAGCAATCGCGGGGTTTGTCTTTATGGACATTCCTGATTTGTGCTGCTTTTCGCAGGGTGATTCGCTAGCAACCGGGAAACACATTCAGCTAGGAAGAACTGCTTTTTTGATTCCAAACTGAACTGCTTGCATGCAACGCTAAAAGAGGCAACCAACCTATGAGCAACCAGTGATCCTCCTGCCATGCAAGGACACTGCCAGTTTATGGATCCATCCGGGAACCTAGGGCCTTCAAAAAACTGTAGTAAGCCCTAAACGCTTGTAGACACTTCAAGACTCGGTGCTAGTAGAGTCGGGGTGGGCCAAGAGGCAAGACTAGTGCCGGACGCTGTGCCGCTCTTTAGGTCTGGACCTGCTGGGCAAGATGTCAATTTCTCTTGGAAAGAGAAAAAGCAGACGCGGAAAGCGTGCCC